GGTATTTAGATTTCAATATCTCTATCATTGACTCCCATTCACAGTTTATTACATTTTAAATAGGTGATAAATGGTTTTTATGAGTGTGTTCGTCGATATATGCTCGACATATTTCGTTGCTTAAAGGCTAAGTTCGGGAACACTTGAAGCATTTAACTATTATATCCTTTTTGTGGGCAATGCTTTGAGGTTTCAATGAAGTGGCTTTCCAATTAAAAATCAAAGGAGGTAATTTCTATATCTTTAAGGCTAATAAATTCCTTACTTTTATGGATTTCTTTTCATATGCTTGAGGTAGTTGATATACATGGTTCCAAAAAGCACTAGAAGGTACTAGTATGGCTAAAATACTAGATAGAACCTTGGTTGATCCATCTTGGCAACAAACCTTCCCTAAAGCCCATGTGATTATCCATTATAGGGTGTATTCAGATCATTGTCCCATCTTCTTGATTCTAAAAGAGGATAGTGTGTCTAGAAAGGATTCTTCTTGAAACATTATTTCTTCCTAAACACACCATGTGGATTATCATGAAGTTGTTCAAACAACTTGGAGCACTTTTTCTTTCAAACAGTCCATAAAAAATTATGAGGTTAAAGACAAATCCCAAAATTTTAACAAAAATGTTTTTGGCACACTACAAAAAATATTGATATTACAAACAGACAAAATTCGTCAACAATTGATAAAATTTGTGGTAATGGACATTTTTTGACAGATTATCAACAAACAATATTTCATCGATAAATTACTCATAAAACTATTACCAACAAATTTTGGACTATGGGTAATTACCGTGGCATAATCTATCAGTATTTTCATGATCTATACTGACAAATTAGACCATGGATAATTTCCATGAATATATTTGTCTATAACAACCAATAATTTTATGCATCTAAATATCTGTGAGAAATTACCCACAAACATGTCCATGAGTAATTTCCCAAAACATGTCTATCAAAAATTTCCCGCGAATATATCCTTTGGAAATTTAAATGGATAAAATTGTTGGTTTTTATAGATGGATATATTTATGAGAAATTATCAATAAATATATCTGTGAAAAATTTAGATGCATAAAATTGTTGGTTGTTATAGATGGATATATCCATAGGTTCATACAAATTATTTTTAAAAGACATTTTTAATAATATTAAATAAAAATACATATAATATAATATACAAGAACATTAATCCAATCATAATAATGTATATCCAAACAAGTTCAATCATTCATATAATATTTGGTTCGAACATAACATGACTTTTAAAATTAAAAAATAAATCTTAACATAACAAAGTATGATATTTTTAAAATAAGTGATAAATATATTATAATATGAGTTTCTCTAAAATCTAATATTTTCAAAATTGGACCAATCACTAAACTAATCTAAGCACTAGTTCAAGGTTTAATGGTTAAACCATGGTTGAATCATAATCAAATCGGTATTAAAAAAATCATTATTATTATCACCAATACAAATAATATTAAATAAATATAATATTATAATTTTATAACACTAAAAGCTCAAATAAAATGTTATTTATATATTCTTAGTATTTAATGTATACATTATTTATATAATATAATATTTAAGTTTAAGTTTTAATAAAATATAACAATGTTCATTAATGGTAACAAATTTACATCTAGAATAAAAGTATCAAATTAATATAATATAAACTATAAAAATAAAAATATTCAAAATTGCAAATAAACATAAATGATTAGATTATATTTATAAGACAAGTATTAACAATAAGTTTTTCTAATTTATAATTTTTATTAAATATTATTCTTATTAAAAATATTTAAAAATTAAAATAAATATTTTTTAATTAACACAAATGACCAGTTTATTTTATCAATTTTGACCAATTCTATCAATTTTCCATCGGTTCGATACAAAATAGTTTTCTAGGACAACTAAACCAATTAAGGATCAATTCTTAGTCAAATGGATCCAATCGGTTGATTCAGTCTAATTTTCAAAACTATGTTAAAATCGAATAATCAAAATATCCCAATGAATGTTGTTCTTATGAGTCATTAATTTATTGGTCATCAATTGATTGTTGGTTGCCATCATGTTCTTGTTGTTGGTTTTGGGGATGACTATTTGGTTGCTTATGGAAAACATTATGCATGGTAGGTCATAAGAAAGGGAGTACAACATTGACAAAGGTCTGAAACTAAGAGTGCATCTAACGCATCTCTTCCTCATTAGCTAAAATTTGTTTCAACTGAATAATCTCCTGTGCATCTTGAGGGCGACTTAAAAATGCCTCCATTTGTGGCATAAAGCTTCCATCCTCATGTTCACAAGCTTGAGCAAGATCTCCTACACTAAAACAACGACCCTTATATTTTCCACCAACAGTTTCATCCTAACATCAACTCCTAAGTCTTTCCTCCCCAACAAGGTCTAAAAGGGTACATTATGAGAAAGTCTAGTTTCAAATTCTTCCCATTATCATTTTAAACAATGGGTAAAAATATAGTAAAATTATTAAAATTAAAAAAATGAACATCTAATATAAAGGACTCACATGTGATTGCCTAGATCTTTCATCAACCAACTATCCAATATCTTTTCATATACGTGTTTGTTGAAAGACTTCATCAATATGTACAAATCAACCAAGTTCCTGTATTTGCAAATGAAAAAATTATATAAATAAATAATTTACATATAAAATTAGGTGTTAAAAATAAACTACAAAAATATAAGTAGACCATGCGAAGGGCATGTTCATGCACATTGATGGAGCCACATGTGTGCATGAACCCCCACCCTTTTCAAAAGTCCAATTTTTGTGTGGCTATATACACTTTGAGTGATATGTTGGTGGGTTCCAATGTTCTAATAGACTTTTTTCACACATGATCTCCAATCCATTCTGGTTCGCTATTGATCTTTTGAGCTTCTATAAACATCTCAAAATATTTATAAAAAGCTCTTGAATAATTTTTTTTAGTTTCATGCTTTTGTCTCCTTTTCACCTTCATTTGTTATAAGAACAAAATAAATAGTTAATATTTAATAGTGTTTTAATTAACTTATTATGAGTGTAAAATAGTTTAGAATTAATCAAAATCAAATATGAACTAGATATATTATGTCTTCATAAAAACTTCTCAAAATGATCTTTGGAGTTGTGGCTACATGCTAACCAGTTTGATCTATATTCAAAATCAAATTTTTAGTTAATTTTCCAAGTGGTGAGGGTATTGTTATATCAATTTGTTTAAGAAAACATTTTCTTGAGCAAGCATTTTCTCTTGCATATGCAAATGGCATATCAAATTAAATTTGTTTGAAGTTACATAATCATGTTAAAGGAAATAATAACACAATAATAGTTAAAATATTGGTTAACACTAACCAATAAGGCCCAACATAATTGATACATTTAAACATGTTATTAAGAATTTTTAAGCATCATTGCTACATACAAAAAAAAATGGGCTAACACTTAAAACAATATGACATAACATTTGTTTCTTGAGCATTATTTTTGTGCAATTTGCCTAAACAATGAAAAGGGCATGGCTTTAAGAGGTAGACATAATAAGCTCATCTACCAAATAGATGAATGATGTTTTCATGGTAAACAAAAAGAAATTTTTGATACAAATTTGCAGAAATTGTAGGTCAAGAATATCCACATTTTCCATTTATCATGAGCTAATTACTAGACGAATATTTCATCCAATAAAAAATAGTTTATTACCAACTCACTCAAGTTGCATATTCTATAGCTACCATTACCTATTTGTCAACATTGAAAATTGAAAGTAGATAATGCCTAATGCTATGTGTGCTTTGTTCTAACACCTCTACCTCATCCTCTCATATAGACATGTCAATTTGGGCTCAACCCAATGAGTTGGTTTGGCTAATCCACAAATAAAGTTAAGTTGAACTTTAAAAGTGATAGTCTAAATAGAATCAGGTCATTTTGCTGTCCACTAAATCTAACAAAAGTGTCAAGTAACCTACTCAAATAAAGTCGAATCCACATGCATATTGAGTATCAAGTATTGGACTCTTCAAATGAGATAAGTCTTAGATTAGACTCTAGTTAACTTAACTTCTTTTTTTTTTTTTTTAGCTTCATGACTAATCTTTAAAAAACCATTTTGATTATCTCCCACCCATTGCAAATGATATTTGAAACTTTTTCTTTGGTTGCAAAACCTGTTAAAGTTCATATTGTTCTTACTCGTTGTTACTCATAAATGACATATAAAGCATGTTGATATGAATAATATTTTCTTAATGGCTTCTTGAGATAGGATGTTTAGATGGCACACCTCCGGATTGTGAACAAGAAACGAAAAATCATATTTACTTCTAATAAACTCAAAATTGAGTAGTGTTAATAAGTCTTTCTTACGAATCTTGAAAAGCTTTCTCAAGGCCATAAATAGTCTTTTACAACTTGCAACATTTCTATATGCATGTTCAAAACCCCAAGGTTGTTTATTGTAAACATGATCATCCAAGAAGTTTAACATCAACTTTCTTTATAGGTCATCACAGTTTCCTCTCCTTTGGTGCAAAATCTTATCAAGCTTCCAAATTGTTTTTGCTCCAAAACAACTGTGACTTGGATTATTTTCTTGGGAATGAGGTAAAACAATTCCTTAGGTTACATGATTCTCTCTCGGGCCAAGTATATACGTGATTTACTTATCAGGGCTAACATGAGCAATGCCAAAGGCATTTCCAACCGTTTCGCTCTCTTCGAAAACTTATATAATTTATTTTCTTCACAATTAATTACGTCTTATCAAATTGCAACATATTTATTTATTTAGACCAATATTTTTAGCTTATATATTTTAAATTATAACCACCGCCAATTTTTAGATTTATTTAATTTTTAATATAATCACTATCAATTTTTAGACTTACTTAATATTAATCAAATCAAATGTTCCAAAACATTAAAACGAAATCATTTAATCTAATTCAATATAAACTACTTTTAATTATGTATTAAGTTAAATTTGATATTATACTCAATTCACTCCAAACTGAATTACAATTGATCTTTATGATCAGATCAAATAACTGACTAAATAAATCCAAACTGAACCGCAACAAATACTCCTATTTTTACAGCCAAAAATTGAATTTAATTAATAATTACATTGACAATATGGCAGGGCCTAGACACTGAATATTATATTTTAAAACCGGATTCGTCAATCGAATCGGATGCTGCAACTTGTGCACCTGTTTGAACTGAACCGGCAAACTGCGTTTTAGGCTACTTGCATTAACTACCCGAAGCAAAACTGCAGGAAAAAGTATACTAAAATAATTACTACATACAAACATAATAACGTGCAAGCAGAGTGACGAATACATTGTACATACAGGGAGTTTGCTTCCCCAAGAATAAAGCAAGCCCGACAGAAATGCAATACCACTTAACCAAACTCCCGAAGAGCGTTAGGAGTTTAGCACAGGCATCTCAGGACATACAAGTTAAGAACCATGTAACTCTTCAAAGGTCATGTTCTCACATCTTTGAGCACACCCCCTTTTTCGAGCTCACTCACCAAATCTTTAAGGGATGGAACCTTCGTAGCCAAGGTCCTATATAATCTAGAATATCGTGCCCGAGTGCCATCTGCAGTCCTTGCTAGAGCAAGCAAGCTTAGAGCCTCAGGTAGTTCACTAAATACTTGTTTCATTTCGTCCAAGCTCATATTTTCTAAAATAGAAGGTCTAGGGGCAACCCTTACAATTTCACCACCTTTAGGTTCCTGAACTCGTGCATCAGCTTTAATGACCAGTTCTGAATTGGTGTTTGCACCACATTTTATTATAAATGGTGAGGACGAGCCAGTATTGAATTGAAGTACATTCCACTGTGCCACATCAGTTTCAGATCCGGAACCCAGATCCGTAGATGGCTTCCGACCATGAGATATATCTTGAATGGGATCATCTTCTTCAGGAATTGACTGTATCACAACAGAATAAAGGATTCAGGAATCAAAGAAAATTGATCCAAATTATTTTCATCAGTTCACTCCTTGGTATAAAACTCAGGTGTTCACTCCTTAGTATGTTGTCAGCAATAGTTCCACAAGGCAGAGTAAACAAATTTGTTCTTTTTCAGCATTTATTTGAGTAAAGTCACCAACTCAAACACCAGATGAAAGAAGTACAGTAGACGTAACAATTTGCATACCTCAACCATGTAGCGAGCATCTGCGATGTGCCTCTGAGCACACGGATGATCAATATCAAGAAGTGAAGGCATCTGTTCTGTTAGTTCATCAAGAGAAGCAAGCATCGTTCTTTTCTTACTTTTGGTCAAGATGTTCACGGAAGAAAGTCGTGTTGTATCCTGTTAAAATAATGCTTTAAATTATTAATAACATCCAATCAATACACTAACTTTCAAAAACAGATTTGAACAATAATAAAAGAACCTTTATTTGCTTTAATATGTTATCGAGCGAAATAAGAGATGCCAATCGTGCATCTTCAGCTGCTGTAGAAGGATTTTGAATAGGAGAACCTCCATTTTCTAGTGTCAATAAAGCTATATCACTTTTCATTTGTTGCAGAATCTGATATATGAAAAATGAAGAAATTAATGTCAGTGTATGTTAAGCAAATTCATTTAAGATAACAGAGCAGTAAAATCCTTCGGTAAAATTGCTTTTTATAAACTGATCTTACCACTGACAAATGCAATTACTATTATGACTGGATTCATAATCTATGAACATAGACCAAACAATCCGAACTAAATAAACAAAAATAGCCATTACTAACCACACAGGATATCATATATATAATATATAGACCTTCCACCCAAGGCTACCTCCTTTAACCTAAATTGTAAATATGCAGAAGATCAGACTCGTAAAATCTCTAGACCAGAATCACAATAAAATGCATTTCTCATCGAGTTGGTCATCATTTTTGTGTTCCACGAAAAACTATTCATTTTGTTTGAATAGAATCTCATTTTTTCAACATTCTACTACAAGAGATTATTTTATTTATGGACAATAAATGACATTGATGAATACTAGTAAGGAGGCTTTTATTTCAAGGTGTAACATTACATTTTCAGATACTAGGACCAAGAATGTTATTTCTAGGTTAACTCAATATTTTTGTAGTTTTGTAACTTGAAACTGGAAATTAAAATTTGATAACTTGAAATTATCACGGGAAAGCAAAATACTCATCCCTAAGCATGGGAACAAAATCAAGCAAAATACGGGATCGTCATATTCTTTCCAAACACTGCAACATAATGGAATTGCTAAAAGAAAAAATAGACAACTCTTAGACCAAACCCAAACACTATTGTTTCAAAAAAAAAAACATTCCAACAAGATTTTGGGGATTTTGGGGGGAGGCTATTCTCACATTAACATATCTTGTTAGAATAGCTTATTAGAGCATCTTCTATTTATTATTATTTCTTTTGTATGTCTGATGTGATTTCTTAAGCTCTTAGCCTTTTCAGCCTATATTGTATATTTGTATACTCAATCAGATATATAAAATGATGCAGTTCAGTGTGTAGATGGCCACACTGTTTTTTTTCCCAAAACCATCTTAACATTCAAGTTGGTATAAGAGCAGGTCCGATCCCACTCTATCATCCGCCGTCGTCTGCTGTCGTTCATCGGCAACCTTAGGGTTTGGTGCACCTCGTTGAGTGCAACCTAACCCTATTGGTTTCTAGGGCATCAGAGTCTCCACGCATCCTCATGCACCACTCCAAGCTCATGTTCAGTCACGCGCGTGTATCTCATGCGCCGCCTTCTGGTCATCAGAAGTCAGTTGTGCCACCACCGTTGTGCTTGTCCACGTCTTCTGGGTCTGTTTTAGCCCTCAGTGTACTATTCCAAGTGACTGTTTGGATCGTGATCACTATTCATCTTCTTCTCCTTGTCTCTGTTTCTTTGTTTTTCTCTCATGGCTTCATCAGGCCTTGCTCTTGCTATTGTTGGGACACCTACAATTACTACAAAAAAGTTAAATGGAAAGAACTATCTGTGATGGGCTGCATTTGTGGAACTTTGGTTTCCTGGTCAAGGGCACCATGACCACCTAGAAAAGGAAGACATTGAGGGGTCAATGGAGAGTAAAGCTCAGTGGCAGAAAATTGATTTTCAATTATGTGCTGTGTTGTGGCAATCTGTAGAACCCAATATACTGGGAACACTTAGAGCCTTTAAAACTTGTTGCTCTTTTTGGAAGAAGGCTCAAAATATCTATGCTAATGACATTCAAGGGCTATATGGCGCTGTCCAAAACTTAGCCTCTCTTAAACAAACTGTTCATGATATGATTACTCATGTAGTTGAAGCTCAAGCTGTTGTGGAAGAACTAAGATTGTTCCTTGATGATGATTCATTGGAAAGAATGAAGAAAAAACTTAATAGGCTATATATGGAGATCATTTCGTGATCAACTCTTGACTGGTCATGAAATTCCCTCAATGGACAACCTAGTTATTAGACTGCTCCAAGTTCCAACTGAAGCTAAGAGCGAAAATTCTACTGCCATTGATGAAGCTTCTACTATGGTCTCTTCCAATGGAAGAGGTGGTCGTGGAAACCGAGGAAGGGGGGGGGGGGGGAGTATAAGTGATCGTTCCCAATGTTCCTATTGCAAAAGGATGGGTACTCGAGAATTGTTACTCTCTCCATGGTTTTCCAGGAAAGACAGCAAATCTGTCCAAGTCTGATATGAAGATCCCTAAAGATCATTATCAAGAATATCTTCAATGGAAAGCCATGAGTCAAGCTCAATCTTCCTCTACCCCTACTATTTCTACAACCAGTATTTCTCAATTAACTACAAGTTAAAGTCCATGGATCATTGATTTAGGTGCCTCTAATCACATAGCTGGTAATGATTCTATGTTTTCTTCCATGTCTCCTCTTAAATCACCCCATCTTATTATCTTAGTAGATGGATCCAAAATTGCTCCCAAAGGAATTGGTCAAGTTTCCCTTTCTCCCTTTCTAAATTTAAACTTTGTTTTGTTAGTCCCTAATTGTCCTTTCAATTTAATTTTTTTAAGTCAATTATCTAAATTCTTAAATTGTTCAATAACCTTTAATGCTAAATCTTGTGTTATTTAGGAACGTGGTACGAGCATGATGATTGGCATAGGACATGAATTTAGTAGTCTTTACTATTTTGGAATGTAACCACATGCATCTTGTGTTGCTATTTTGTCACCCAAGCTTTTGCATGATCGTTTGGGTCATCCAAGTTTGTCAAAGTTGAAACTCTTAGTTCCTAGTCTCAAAAAATTGGAAGAGTTAGGTTATAAGTCATGTCAACTAGGCAAACATGTTAGATCATCCTTTCCCAAACAAATTGAAAAAAGATGTAACTCGATTTTTACCACCATTCACTATGACATTTGGGGTCCAAGCCGTGTAACATCTTTTAGTTTCAGATATTTTGTAACCTTTATTGATGAATTTTCTCGATGTACTTGGGTGTACTTAATGAAAGATCGTTCTAAACTCTTGTCTATTTTTGTTTCTTTCTTTAATGAAATTAAGAACCAATTTGGAAAAACAATCAATTTTTTTTAGATGTGACAATGCAGAAGAATATTTCTCCTTTGAATTACCTTCCTTTTATCCTAAGAGTATTTTACATCAGTCTACATGTCCACACACACCCCAATAAAATGGAATAGCAGAAAGGAAAAATAAACACCTTGTAGAAACTGCACGCATCCTAATGCTCAATGCAAATGTTCCTATACATCATTGGGGTGATGCAATTTTCACAGCTTGTTTTCTAATAAACAGAATGTCATCTTCTCTTGAGAATAAAATTCCTTACTCGGTTATCTTTCCAAAGGAACCCTTGTTTCATGTCTCACCTAGAGTCTTTGGGTGTACATGTTTTGTCCATGATGTCTCCCCTAGTTTGGATAAGTTTTCAGCTAGAGCTATTAAGTGTGTTTTTCTAGGCTATTCTTGTCTCCAGAAAGGGTACAAGTGTTACTCCCAAAAGACTAAAAATATTTACATGTCTGTTGATGTTACTTTCTTTGAACAAACTCCCTTTTTCCTATCCTTTACACATGATTCTGTGACAATCCAATAGGTTCTACTCGTCTCATCCCATATGTCCATACCACTTCAAACTTTAGCCCCTAATCAAGAGGTCATTCAACCCACCTTGTCCACAAATAAACCAATTCAAGATACTCCATCTCCTCTTCTCACATATCAACGTCAAAATCGACAAATTGATTCGACACTACCTGAAGAATCACCAGATTCATGTCCTTCACCATCAGACTCCCCTACAACGGATCCTAGTGATGGTAGTTCAAGATGGCCATTGCTCTTCACAAAGATATTTGGTCTACTCGGAAATCCCATCCTATTTATAATTTTTTGAGTTATCATCGATCTCCCTTATATTGTTCTTGTCTCCTCTATTTCTCCTTTAACTATTCCTAAAAATGTCTATGAGGCACTTGATCATCCTAGATGACAACAAGTCATGATTGCTGAAATGCAAGCTCTTGAACATAGTGGTACATGGGAGTTAGTTCCACTTCCTCCCGGGTCTATGCCAGTAAAATTGGGCCTAATGGTACAGTTGATCGACTCAAAGCCAAATTGATAGCCAAGGGATATACTCAAATTTATGGCCTCGATTATGATGATACCTTTTCTCTTGTGGCCAAAATCCCTACAGTTTGTCTCTTCCTTGATATGGCAGTTATTCGCCATTGGCCTCTCCACCAATTAGATATTAAAAATGCATTTCTTCATAGGGAGTTGGAGGAAGAGATTTACATGGAGCAACCTCCTAAGGTTTGTTGCTCCGGGGGAGTCTAGTTTATTTGCAAATTGCGATGTCCCTTTATGGTCTCAAACAATCTCCTCGAGCTTAGTTTGAAAAATTTAGTCATGTGATGCAAAACTTTGGGTTGAAAAGAAGTGAAGCAAACCACTTAGTGTTCTATTGTCATACTTCGCCTGGGAGGTGTTTATTTGATTGTTTATGTTGGTGACATAGTGATTATAGGGAATGATGCAACTACAATCTCTTAGTTGAAGAAACATTTGTTTAGTCATTTTTAGACCAAAGACCTTGGGCGTTTGCAATATTTTTTGGCTATTGAGGTTGGTCAATCAAAGGAGGGCATTGTGATTTCACAAAGGAATTATGTTATTGATATCTTGAAGGAAATTGGCATGTTGGATTGCAAGCCCATTGATAGTCCTATGGATCCTAACCAAAAGTTGATGGCTGATCAAGGTGAACCATTCACAAACCCAAAGAGGTATAGAAGATTGGTTGGGAAGCTCATTTATCTTACAATCACAAGACCTGATCTTTCTTTTGCAGTAGGGATTGCTAGTCAATTCATGTAGGCTCCTCATATTGATCATTGGAATGTTGTTTTACGCATCCTTAGATATATCAAAAAGGCACCAGGACAAGGATTGTTGTATGAGGATAAAGGAGACAGCCAATTTTTGGCTATTGTGATGTTGATTGGGCTAATTGTCCTGTAGACCGATGTTCCACTACTGGCTATTGTGTATTCCTAGGTGGAAATCTCATATCTTGGAAGAGTAAGAAGCAAAATTTTGTTGCCCGATCCAGTGCTGAGGCTAAATATCATGCTATGGCTATAATTACCTGTGAACTTATATGGATTAAGCAACTTCTTCATGAGTTAAAATTTTGTGAAGGTCATCCAATGAAATTGTATTGTGATAATCAGGTTGCACTTCACATTGCCTCCAATCTAGTATTTCATGAGAGAACTAAACATATAGAAGTTGACTGTCATTTTGTTAAAGAGAAGTTGTTGTGTAAGAAAATTGTTACTAAATTTGTCACATCCAATGAACAACTTGCAGATGTTATGACTAAGTCATTGAGGGGGCCTCGCATTCAGTTTTTATGTTCCAAGCTTGGTGCATACAATCTGTATGCTCCAGCTTGAGGGGGAGTATTAGAATAGCTTATTACAGAAGCTTCTTCTATTTATTATTATTTCTTTTGCATGTCTGATGTGATGTCTTAGGCTCTTAGCCTTTTCAGCCTATATTGTATATTTGTATACTCAATTAGATATATAAAATGATGCAGCTCAGTGTGTAGATGGACACATTGTTTTTTCCCAAAATCATCTTAACATTCAAGTTATCTTATTAATCGAATACCCTCCATAATCTTGTGATTTAAGAGTTGTATGGATGTACTTTCTTCTTTTATCCTAACTTGTCCACCTCTAGTAAACTTCCACCAAAGATCTTTGAGTGGGTCTCTTTTTTCCATGTGCATAGTCAAGTCAAGACTTGGGAAAACATGATCTTAGGGCTCTAAAGTGTGTCTTTGTTGGGTACTCCTATATTCAAAAAGGGTATAAGCGTTATCAACCTCTATCTAAGAAATTCTCTGTCTAAGGATGTCGCCTTTCACGAGGAACAAAATTATTTCTCTCAAAAATCTTATCTTCAAGGGGAGAGTCTTAGATAAGATAAGGAGATTTTTTCTAAAATATTTGTCTTTCCTACTCTTGAGAAAAATGCTTGTCATCCTAAAAAATATGCATCAACTCTAATTGAATCTAATGAAGATTTTCCAACCAGACCAGAAAACGATACAAGGTTTGGAAAGAATTTGGTTACATAAGAAGATCAAAGAACATTCCTAGATCGACAAATGCCCAAGAGACCAATCCAACTCCTCGGAACATGTGACTGTATTGTTAGTATATGTGGATGACATAATTGATACTTGTGATGATTGGAAGGATAAATAAGTATTCAATCCACATTTAGTCAAAGAGTTTGAGATAAAAACTCTTGGGAGGCTGAAATATTTTTTGGGAATTTAAGTGTCCCAGTCCAAGAAACCCATTTTCATATGTTAACAAAAAAATTTGCTCAAGGAGACAGATAAGGCAGCTTGTAGACCTGTAGGTGCGGACTTTGATTCAAACCTTAAATTGGTTACTGCAGATGACAGTGTGGTGATGGATATGGAGATGTATCATAATTTGGGTTGGAAAATTAATCTATTTTTCTCACACAAGGCCAGATGTTGTTGCTGTAAGTTTGGTTAGTCTCTTTATGCACTCTCCAAAAGAAGTCCACTTACAGGCTACCCAGAATTTTGCAGTGCCTTAATAGTGTGTTTGGATGAGGAATTTGAATGAAGTAATTCATTTTTTTAAGGAATTTCAAATGCCTTGGGATGAAATGTTTTGTCCTCTGAAATATCAGATGCACACAATTTAATTCATGTCGTCATTCTACATGCACTCAGTGTTAGAATAGGTCGGAGGGAGCTGTTTATACAACCAGAATCTGTTACCAATACTATCAGGTCAAAAGGCAACCTTATCATTACATCAATGCTCAGCCTCTAGTGTCAAAGTAAAAAATATAAATTGATGTTTCATTATAATCAGGGGTTATATCCACATTTGATGTGCAACTTTTATCTACTATCTAGTAACTAATACAATGACAAAAGTGTGAACATATGCAAGCATGCAGTTACTCAAGATATATGTTGATATAACACAAGTGCACACATGCATAAGATTTGACAGTTAAAAAAAACAGCACCTTTCTTCTTTTATGATCAACCGATTCTAGAGCTGAACGTAGCTTTGCTACTTGTGCTGCATCTTCAGCCTCCTCTGTTGCCAAGGTCCCAGCAATATCCTGATAATCAAATGTCAGAAAACATAAGCCCGACACATTATCTACAGAGCATAATATCAGATGATGCTCTCATACAAGGGAAATCAATTAAAAAGGATTCATTCATTTCTTTTGATCTAAAAAGGTATACATCCACAGCACATAATTTAATCAAACAAATAACATAACTGTAACTTGCCATGGAAGGTAATGAAGATCTGCATCTCAATTCTCAATGTATGCTAATTACGCAATCTGAATGTAAGAATTCAAAATTCATGCAAGAATTCAGGGAAATAATATTGTGAAATTCTAAGCAGCAATTCTTTTTTTTTTGTGGCTAATACTGGACTCAGATCTAGATTTTAGTATGAGACACAGAGGAAATAGGAAGATTAAAGTTTAAACTAGATTAATAGATAATATCCACCAAAGACCCTCCTACAAAGTGACCATTGTCTAAATACCATAAAACTATGAAAGTAATTTATCCAATAAGAGTTGCCAAACAAGAAGCTGGACTCGGTCTATTATGTATAGAGTATTGTTATATTTGATTGTGACAAACATAAGTTGTATCAGCGTCATCTCTCAAGTCTCAACAAAGTCATAAAGTAAACAAGGCTTCTTCCAATTATCAAGAACTTCTTAGGTATGCATTTACAAGTCATTTTACACAGAACTACCATGTGGCATACCTTCAAGTGTTGTAGTTGAGAACTATAGACACGTTTTGAATATTCAAATAATAGTTGGCCAAGGGCATCTGTGTGCAGAGGCATAGCAGCACCAAGTCCAGCCATCCAACCATCCATAATTGCAGTTGAAAGAAGTTCCAACTGACCAGTTGACCCCCCCAACGCATCATCTCCAGTTATAGATAGAAACTCAAAATTCTCAGCAAGCCAAGATCTAATTTGGCGCTGCAGCTCACCCGCTGGAGTATGTACAAAGAGTGCAGCAAGAGCTTTGTTCCCAATTGCAAAACTTTTGGCGTCCTCAGTAATTTCCCTAAGCTTTCCACCAGTTACTTGCTGTCTCCAGATATCCTGTGCAGTTTATTTCAAAATGCAAAGAGAATAAGGAAAAATAGAAAAGAAGAATCTAGATGTGACCTAGGTTCAAATAATGAAAAAAAAAATTCCAGGTATGTGCCTGTAAAGAAACAAACACAAAGAATAAATGGTCTTCGTGGAAACTTGGAAGTTTAAGAAATGTTTACTTGCTCAGAATTTATTCCTCAACCAGTTATCAGTCATTTGGTGGATAACATAAGACAGGGACACCAAGAAATGGTAAAAAGGCATTTATAACGTACAAAGATCTAAAAGAAGTCACAGGAAGCCTTCCTCAATAGTTTTTCACACCTTAACTGAGCTTTTCTGCTTGCTGGTATATACAGAAGTAAGGAAAATATATAACAGATTATTAGGTGTTAGCAGCTACCTCATCAATGCCACGTATCTTCAACACCACAGATGAAAATTTGGATTTCTTTTCTGGCTTTAGATTCACTTTAAATCCCTGGATCTGCTCGTCAACATATAGCACAGGAGACCTACCAGGACTACTCCCTCGGCTGGAACTTCTACTGCGCCCAGTATTAGCCTTCTCAAGAAAGGACTCAACTGGCAAAACCTTCCAATTCGATGTGCAAGACATTCAAAATCAACAAAATGCATGCCACTAGACTCAATAAGACACCATAAATACACAATGAAAACCTTATTAGAACTTTTTTTTTTCTTTTTGAAAAAGAGAAATCCAATAGCCTCCACTGGTATTACCTTAATTGATTGCAACTCTGGAGATCTTGCAAGCAAAGATCTTATGTACAGAATTCTAACACGGGAAACAAGCATGGTGTCCATTACTCGTTTTGGTTCCATCTTTCTAATAAAAGAGAAAACAGCATCCCTAATTTCAGCAAGTATCGCATGTTCTCTAGAGGCACCAGCTTTGATGACAGCCGCCAGAACCTGCAACATTTTGAAAAATGCTCATAAAAGTTTAGCCTGAAATGAATACTGACATGCTGTCAGTATGGAAACTGGCAGACATTCTATTGATATCTAGAGCAATCAACCTCACTAGTTATGGATAAAATTGTATGTACAACCTCTTTTATTTTCAGTACATGATTATTTCAAGGTGTTATACAATGGGAGAAATTGTCACCCTAAATATTCTTGTAGTAAATGTAGAAATCATTATAGCACAATATAGGGATTGACAGTTATTATAAACACACATGATTATATATATGTTGGAAAGTTGCCTCAATTACAGTCCCCCCAAGCCCACCTTAGTTGCGACCTCTTTATGGGCTGCTTGAATTGTAGCCTCAAGGGTGGTGGCTTAGTTCCACATTGACTAGAGATATAGACCAACAATGGATCTAGGATAGGCTCTGGAACAATCATAAAATGTAGGTTTGGGCCTAATATCTTGTAAGGTGAGGACGGCCCAAGCTTCATAAGTTTTACTTAAGTCATATCTTAATCGATATGGGATTTACAACACATCCCCCATATTAAGAACTGAACATTTCAAGTATGAAGTTTGCAAAATGACTATCAGCATGAGAGAAATTTTATAGCAAGCAAAGCTAGGTCCAACCTTCTCAAATAAGTAACAATTTCTTTTGGGATAGAAACAAGGCCAGTGCAAGCATTTGTTGAGAATACAAGGAAGGTAAAATACTTGGAGATCTTCATCAACAGGCCATGAGAAAACTACACAAATGAACTTGACAGTGAATTTAATCCAAAACCTTAAGACATTAAGTTTGCAGGTCCTTTCACTATTATTAACCTGCCCACTCTGTTAGAGTAAGATATTTGATTGTACTGATATAGTTTTTAATTTCCAGTAGTGTGGGCAGCGACACCTTCAAGGAGACCTGCAATATTGTATCTTTCTTTCCTTTCTGTTAGATTTTCAGTTGGATGTTCAGTTGGGTTTCTGTTAGAGTTCAATTACATCTTAACTAAATGTAAACATCTATAAATACTTAGTTATTGTACACAAATCATATATTTCATCTCATTCTCTCTGTATCTTCTCTCTAAGAATTCTAATGTCCACTCCTACACACTTGCAAGTGCAATGCAATGTTGACATTCACAGTAGGGAGTTGCATTGTACTATTGTCATGAACCAAGCCATGTGAAGCACACTTGTAATAAATTTCAAGATAAACAATAGTTAAATCAATTGACAAATGTTGTCTTGTCTTCTTGAAAGACCATCTAGGTCTCTGCTAATGAGTTCAAATTTTCCCAGCATCAAGAGTCTATCAAATCCATTGTTCTTGTTACTTTTGAAGAGACAATAAATCAATTGCATATGTTATCTTTCCATCATCCAAATATTTCATCAATTCTGAGACCACAGATCACAAGACAAGTAACCAAAATCTCTTTTCCACTTTTCAATCAAATTCCACCTCTATCCTAGGTTCTGGGACCATCAATCCAAATTTCAGTCTTGTCACTCCATATCCTCATTGTTGAGCTTACCATCAATCTCTGTTAACAAAATTACCTGTCTTGAAATGTTTTATCCCATTCCTTCTCGATTATTGTTTGTTTAAGGACCTTACAACAAAGCAAATCATTTGTAAAGCTCATGAGTCTGGCAGTCTCTACATTCTCCAAATGTAAATGTTGAGATCTGTTGCTTGTTCCAATGCTTAGGCTCCATTTGAGATGCATTGTCAGTTGGGTTGGGCCATTCATCTCTCAATAAGCTTTGTCCTCAGTTCAAGCACTTATCATTTTCCAAACATCATCTATCCTTAATGTCTAGAGTAAATATACAGGCTGCATGCTAATTTCGGTTATTCACTCCAATGTTTAGGGTCCTCATCCAGTTCCATCTAATTTATTATTTTTGGTGATTACTCGTGTTATTTGGTTATATTTAATGAAAAACTGTTGAGTTGTTTTCTCATTTTAGTGTCTTCTATGCTGAAATAAAAACTCAAATCCATACTTTTGTTCATACCTTGCCACGTGACAACTCAAATTTGGGTTTAGGCTTAAAAAAAATAGATACCAAGTGATTTTATGGAGGGATTTATGTGGGTGGATGAAGGTTTAGGAATTTTATGAATGTTAGAACATAGGTCGGAGAGGCTCAGGTTTTGGGTTCTGGTATTACGCTATGTTTAGAGGCGTGGGTTGAAGCTGGATATTAGAGCTTTTAATTGAGGGACAGAAAGCTTGAATATCTGACATGTTACAATCAACTAAAACTTGTGTAATTTATTTCCCATACAAGAGGAGTGTCTTGAGCGTAATCTGCTCTACCCTTGGGAAGTGAGTGTAATTTCCCCAAGGTTTTTAATGCATCCAAGTCACCACATTACCCAGTGAGTAACTTGAAAGAGGTTAGAGCATACTGAAATGTTGAATTTCACATGTATGATCAGGATTTAGACATTCTTCCCCAGAAAACTGAAAATAACATATAACACATCTGCACATATTACAATAAAGTTGTTTTCAATAAACTGAATCATAAATAGATCATCCATGCATACCAGCATCAAAAGCTTGTTTGCACCATCAGAAATGGCAGCATTCCCTTCATATTGATCTGGATCGAAGTCATTCAGGGCAGCAGTAAGATATTCACCTGCAGGAGTACTCTTAACTATTTCAGAGCCAGTTTTAACTAGAGCAACTGTGCCATCATTTTTATCAGTGGCCAAAGGTGATGGAAGAACATCCATAGAACGAGAACTTGTATTATTGCTGGTGCCATTCCTGTATCAAGCCAACCAGATTATAGTCAATAATCATATGCTTGATAACAAAACAAAATTTACAAGTAATATAATAAATTGTACCTTCCAATTTCCCGAGGCTGAACATTATCCGATCCACGAGATAATGGACTGGACAACTGAAAATAATAAGGTGCCAATTTTAGAGAGCTAAAAATATCACACAGAAGCATGATATTGATATAAAAAATTGTAGGGGAAAAAAAAAATTTGGTTGCAGCAATGAAGATCAAAGCCAGTTTATGAATCAAAGTTCTTCACAATCAAACATTTAGTTCTTTGTGACACAACCAGTCATCAGAAGAAAATTAAAGCAGGGCCATATACAACTTATTTTAATAACAAACCACAATTTGATATACAAACATTAAAATAGTTATTGTCAAATTTAAAAAGGTTGATAACAATATGTTGTAAATATCATAGATATTTAGAAGATCTAGAATATCTCTAAGTATCTTTGGATATTTGTTTCCCTATTTCCTTATTTGTTTGTTTCCCTATTTCTTTATTATTATTATTTCCTTGTTTAAGGATAGTCATTTACCCTATAAATAGGGATATTATAGAATGTACAAAATACACAATTAATATACAGTTTCTTTTTTCAACCTAGTATCAAAGCTCCCGATCTTAAGAATTCTATTTCCACAACTCAATACCGGCGTATTTTACGCCACTCGATATCGACATATTGTCCATCACTATAATTGTCAACAGCACTTCCAGTTGTCAAACTAGGAGATGCGACTTTCTTTTACCTGTCATACATTATAAAAAAAACAAAAGTTGTTCACACGTCATTGTTCTAGCGTCATTGTTACCCATGCACTTTTCACGTGGTACTGTTCATTGTGCACTTTTCCTGTGGTACTATTCAACAGGATAGTTTAAGCTTCATTAAGGAGGAAGTAAAGTGTTTCCACATCCTCCTTCATTCAATGAGTAGGTCATTCAATTCTTGTGTCTTGACCATGAAGAGTAAGAGTTCCTTTAATATTTTTGGTTATGTTTCCCAAAGCATATGGGTCCTTGATTCCGGAGCAACAAACCACATGACCTCATTCCCTACACACTTTACAACATACACCAGAGCACCTACAAACAACTTATTACAGCTGCTAATAGAGATCGTGTTTCTATTGTTGGATCAGGCAGCACCCAACTGTCTTGGACATCCTCCATTTGGTTTACTTAAATCTCTATTTCCACATTTGTTTACAAAAGAGTCGGTTGAGTCCTTTAATTGTGATATTTGTCAAGTTTCCAAGCACCATCAAGCCTCACTTTTGCCTAGTAATACAAAAGTGTTTCTCATTTTGATCTTGTCCATTCAAATGTATGGGGACCTATTGTTGAATATGTTTCTAGGGCTAGATGGATTGTAACTTTCATTGATAATTGTACCCGTCTGACATGGACATACCTTATGAAGCACAAATTCGAGGTTTTTCAAATATTTGTCAATTTTTTCCATTTGGTCAAAAATCAATTTGGCAAGTCTATCAAAAGAATTTAGTTAGACAATGGAACTGAATATGTTAATCTAGAATTTTTTGTGTTTGTTACAAAGCTTTACTATTTCAAATGTTTGTCCCTAATGTCTACCGGGGAGAAGTTGTCCTAACTACTTATCTCATTAACAAGTTACCCACTCGTGTCTTACAAGGGCATTAGTCCAATTGAATACTATTAGAGAATAAATAATAAATACTTTTATTAGTTGTATTGAGTTAGTTTTTCTGTTTTAGGCTTTGTTATTCTCTTTGTTGTAATTCTCTATATATGTAACCATACCGCACAATGTGCAGTTTATCTTTTCAATAATATTCACTTCTAAAATTCTGTTTCTCCTATATGGTATCATCGTGAGCTCGGTGCGATCTTGGACCTCTTCGCGTTTTCTCTTCCGCTCTTCTTGTCGCTGTTTTCTCACGCCGTCGTGTTGCGCCACCGTGTCGCGCTTCCGTGTCGCGTCTCTGTGTTGCGATCTTGGATCTCTTCGGTTTTCCCTTGCGCTTTTCATGTTGCTGTTTTCTCACGTCGCCGTGTTGCGCCGCCGTGTTGCACCGCCGTTTTGCGCCGCTGTGTTGCACCTCCGTGTCGCGTCTTCGTGTTGTGCGCTTCTTTTGTTGTCGTCTTGCGCCTCTTTGTCGTTGCTGTTTCTTGACGGAGCGTGTGTTGCGTATCCGTGTTGCGCCTCTTGCTGTTGCGTTCTCTCGACAAAACGTTTGCGGTTGTTTTCGTCATTGTTTCTCTCATCCCTGCGCTGTGTGTTTGTTGTTGCTTTCTTACACCGCTGTGTTGTGCCTCCGCTGACTTCTTCGTCGCAATGTTTTTCTCGTCGTCGTGTTTGGTGTTGTCTTCTCCATCCTTTCCTTTGATTCTTGAAATCCGTTTCAATGGCTTCCGCTTCTGCAGTCTCCACTCAAGCTTCTGCTAGTATCAACAATACCTTCTCTCAAACTGTTACTTGTAAACTTGATGAGAAAAATTTCATGACCTGGCAGCAACAGGTCACTGCTGTCATTCGTGCTCATGATCTTGAGCGTTTTGTTGTCAATCCAAAGATTCCGATGAAGTATCTCACCAGTGAGGATCGTGATGAAAATTCCGTGAATCCTGAATACACTGTATGGGATCGCAAGGACTCACTTTTGTTCTCCTGGCTTCTAACCACACTTTTAGATTCGATTCAAGCACGTGTTGTGTCTTGCCGCCATTCATATCAGATATGGGATATGGTTTTTCAACACTTTCACTCTCTTACCAAAATCAAGGCTACACAACTTCGTCTGGAACTTCGCACTATAAAGAAGGGCACAAGGACTTGCTCTGACTATTTGCTTCGCATCAATACTATTGTTGAGATTCTTGCCTCCATTGGAAGTCCTGTGTCCACCAGAGAACATGCTGAATGTATCATTGGAGGCCTTCCACCTGAATATGATTCACTCATCTCCACAATTACTGCCTTTGTTAGTCGTGATGATGTTCTTTCTCCTACTAAACTTGAAACCATGATTCTTTCTCAAGAGGCATGACTAGAACAGGCTAGAATGGCGATCATTCAAGAACCTCTGACTATTAATGTAGCTCAGACTACTTCTGTTGCAAATGGAGCTCCAAATGTGAATTTAGCATTTCAGCAACCACAAATGCCAAATTCACAGCCCAACACTTTTCAACAATCCTCTTTTCCTTCACAAGGTGGATTCAATAGCTTTTCTGGTCAGAATCGTGATGGAGGTCGTGGCCGAGGTGCACGTGGTGGCAGAAATCGTTCCTCTGTTCAGTGTCAAATTTGTCACAAACGAGGACATGAGGCGTCTACTTGTTACCAACGAACCAATGGGCTGCCATTTGCTGGATATGGGATGCCTTTTGGTTCAATGTTTTCCTCTTATCCTACTTCTGGTTTTGGCTCTCAGAATGGTTACAGACCTAAGAACTTTGGCTTCAACCCATCCTTTCTTCCCAATCCTGGTCCTGTTCCTTATTCTGGGTCATCAGGATTGGCACAGTGGCCTACTCCTATGATGAGTGGTCCTTTTGGGTCCACTTTATCTGGGCTCGGTTTTTCTCCACCTGGCTTCGTCTTTCCAGCACCGTATTCCAATCAGTCAGCACATCAGAGTACTGCCTCTTCTACTCCACGACCTGCTCCCACTTTAAATACTGCTACAACTTGGATTCCTGATTCAGGAGCTTCTCATCATGCCACTGCTTGTGCCCCGTACGAAATTAGGTGTCTATAGTTGTCCATCTTTACTTGTCCTTTTGAATAGTAATGTGTTGCTTTTCCAAAGGCAAGTAAAGACGTAGACATTTTGTCCGGGTCTTCTCTTTATCTCTTTGGTGCTTCTGCGTTATTTCCCTTGGATAGGTGAATTTGCTCATATCCTCACCCTTTAGAGCGGTTGAGCATTGGTTGCATACTCTATTGGGTAACAAGGTTGACAAACTGTACACCTAATATTCAGTTTTCGAGTAGAAGCTCCATTATTTCTCTTGTGATAATGTGTCCCTTTATTTGTAGCTTGTTAAAGAGGGAGTATTTTCGTAGCCTCTCCAGGTTGGAGTGATATTTTAAGGCTTCAGTCGGGCCTCTTCTAAAGGTAGGTAACCCTCTTTGTTGTTGTAGTATTTTCGTAGCCTCTCCAAGCTGTAGTATTTTCGTAGCCTTTCTAGGCTATAGTATTTTCATAGCCTTTCCAGGTCGTAGTATTTTCATAGCCTCTTCAGGCCATAGTATTTTCATAGCCTCTCCAGGCCATAGTATTTTCATAGCCTCTCTAGGTTGTAGTATTTTCATAGCCTCTCTAGGCTGTAGTATTTTCATAGCCTCTCCAGGCTGTAGTATTTTCATAGCCTCTCTAGGACGTCTGCTGGTGATGATTATGTGATTGCCCCTTTTCTTTAAGGAGGACATCTGATGAAGATAAGGATTGCTGGTAGGTGGTGCCTTTGTGCTGGTGGGCAAATGAGTAGATGGGTGACAGGGATTCTGGTGTTGCCCCTGTCTTGTGAGTATTGTCATGCCTCTCCAGGCGTTTGCTTGTGGTAGGTTTTTTCTGAATTTCATTTTTGTTTAGCTCCAACTCTTTTAACATTTACGAAGCTTGCCTTTTTCTGCTATTTTTTTCTAAATGCTTCGGCTTTTTCAACATTTACGAAGCTTGCCTTTTTCTCATATCGTTGTTTTGCTTTTTTGTCAAGATGCAAAAAAAATGCTGGATGCTTATTCATGCAAGATTTTTATTTATTTATTTTTGAATAATCCCCCTTGGATAAAGAAAGCTTTCTAAGTGTGTGAAATGCTTTTGGATGCATGCAATGCATGTTGATTTTAGTTTTTTAGAAGGTGGCTTCCCTTTTCTCCTTCTCACGAATAAATTACTTTGCTTGATGCACAACATTTAGTTGTATTGGCCGTTTGATGTATTGAACCATCTTCGGGCTCTCTCTTTTATTCTTTTTTGTTTAGAAACCCTAACTTTTTCCTAGGATGTAACCTAGCGGGTATTTTTGCTCTCTTCTTTACTCTTTTCTTTTGCCCTAATTTTTGCCTAGGATGCCCTTTGCGGATTTTCATCCCAGCAGGTTATTTTTATATTTT